CTTTATTATTATAAAATTCAAATATTAAATATTGTAATGTTAATAGAACATATTGAAATATTATTACGTCAACATTTGAAACAAGCTAACTTAGGTAATATTTTATTATTATTCCCTTCCTTGCAAGTTAACTGGTTCAGCAGGAAGACGTGGTTCTTGTGGAGTAGTAGTGTTAGAAATGGAGTAGTAGTGTTACTAACGTGGTTCATGTTGTATGAAACCCATTATCACGAGTTTTGTCCTTGCAGTGAAAGCTCAATTGCGAAGAAGGAAGTGTGTTTGTTATTTCAACATATACTTTTGGAATAAGATTGATTGCCTCTACACTATTCATCATTTGCAATGTAACAAATATTGTTACTAACATAAATGATGATAACAAAATTCTATTCATTAATGCAGCCATGATATGAAGGATGAAAATAGTGATTGATGAATACAAGAATTATTGGAATGATGTTAACTAGAGATATATTTCTTAATATATATACAAGATTAGAGGGAGAGGGCTAGTTGAAACATATCAAGTGTATGCCTTCAAAATTTAATAATTTTAACCAAACATTCAAAGTTTCTTTATCTTTTCATTAATTTAACTAATAATTTGTCTTTTGTATTAATTATTATTGTAATATATAAAATGTGATTGGTTAATTGTAAATTCTGAAATAGTAATAATTACACACTTTTTTTTTTGACTTTTCCAAAAATTTGTTTGACGTAACTAAAATGTCTCTGAATCTCAGTTTTTCTATATTATTATCTTTTTGAACATTAATATATTACTCAATGTTTTTACATAAGGAAAAGAAGTATTGTATTTGGTTTAAAAAGATTAAATGGTTAAATTGTTCGGTCATAAAATATGTTTTCAAATATAATTAATAATTATCTATAAATATATAATTATACAAATATAAAATTTTATATTATTAGTATTTTTGTATAATTATATTTATATAACATATCTCAATCTTATTTTTGGGTCGGAATAAAAAAAATAATAAATTAACAATATATTTTTTCTAATTTTAAATGAACTGTCCAATTCACTTCTGAGGTTATTGTGTTTAACAAGGTATGGCCAAAATTTTCTCAGTTCAAAGCGATCTAACTGCTCATTCGATTAAAATTACAAATCAAAGCCATTTTCGAGTCACGTTAGAGATCAGACTTGTAACACCCCAAATTATCCTCCTTGAAATTAGGTAACAGTCCTGAAGAAGGGGGGCATACTGCCAGATTCTCGCTTGAGCGAGAGGATCTCGCCCAAGCGAGAGACCCAGTGTTTTAGTTTTGGGAATTATGGGAGTCTCGCCCAAGCGAGAGGGAATTCTGGGCAAGCTGTGAGATTCTCGCTTGAGCAAGAGAATCTCGCCCAGGCGAGAGGGTCCGTGTTTTGAAACTTAAAATATTGTAGGCTTCTCACCCAAGCGATATATTCTCGCCCGAGCGAGAGTGCCCAGATATAAAAGTAAAGAGAGGGTTTCACAAACCCTAATCTTCATTTTCTTTTCTCCCCTTTCACTCCCAATGGCGGCTCCCCATGGATTTCAACTCTTTCCTCCCCTAAACCTCAAAAACACATCAAAACCTCTTCCTCTTGCTTCTTAATGGAACATTGGAGAGCTTTGGAGATGAAAAAGCAACAATGGAGGTTGAAGGAGATGGAGGTAGATGAAGCTCTTTGCGGATTCATGGAGCTTACACAACCTAAGGTGAGGGAGAAGACCATTGTGGTCTTAGAATATTTCATTAGAGTCATCATCTCCGATTTCCCTAAAAAATCGGAGCACATTAACGGATAGAAACTCTCTCGAGTGTTTGTGGTTCATATGAAAATATTTATTTTATATGGGGATGTATTAGCCATAAATGTTGAGATATGTGTGTGGGGAAAACCGTTTATTTAAGTAAAACGCAATATGCTCATTTATGGTAATACACTGTCATTAAAGATGGTTCTAACGTTAATGTGTATATGACGAGTGATATTTCATGTGTGGATTGTTTATGATAATGGTATGTTATGGGTGGTTGATTTATTATAACATATATGAGTGTGTTTGTAATAAGGATTGTGAGATGTATGTTTAATGACAAAAGTAGAAATTGTTATGTTGTGTGATAATGATTGAGTATGAATTATGTATGGCCGTAAATATAAATGAGTATATTGCGAGTGGTTGATTGTTATAGACATGTATGGGTGTGTTTGTAACAATGAATGTGTGATGAGCTGTTAATGTGTTAAAATGGACATGAGTATGTGGTGAGTTGTTGATTGTTATAAACCTATATGGGTGTGCGTGTAACGATGACTGTGTGATGAGCTGTCAATGTGTATGTTTGTGACAATGATGGTGTTGCGTGTTATTTTATGGTGATAAAATAGTGAGATGCCTTGTGTTGATTGTAAGGACCCAAATTCTACCATTGAAAATTTTTCGTTTATTTTAATCCTCCCTTGTATACAGTCGTCACTTGAAATAAAAACTCTCAAGAAGCACCCTTTGAAAATACTCTTTACCCTATCATATTATCATACAAATTTATGTTGTGGAAAAACATAATTCATTCAGATAGCATTTACCACATACATCCAGTTATGGGTTTTCCAGAGTTATAACGTCCATAACTACATGACACCATATTATCCTAATCAGATTACATTTATCCCAAAATACTATCACATCTACTACAATGTCAAAGTGCAATAAAGACAATCGAGTAAATAAACACAAAAGCTTCCTAATTGAGCCTCATCCTCAAAATCCTTCATTTACCTACAATGGGATTATCATAAACAACACACAAAACAAAAGGGAGTAAGTCATTAGTTTAAAACTAACATCACATGATAATCCACAATTCAAATACGATTAAGCTTTAATATAATTTATGAACACAATTACGTAAATGCAAACATTCATATCTTCTTTCGTTCATTTCCACGTTATCCATATTCATCCTATAGAATATATATCCCATAATATATATTCTATAGCATGCATATTACGTTCATTCGAAGCATCGTTCTTCCCATTATTCATATCCACACTATAGTATATATATCCCATACTATATATCCTATAGCATGTATACTACTTTTATTCTTAGCGTCTTCATTTCCATATTCATATTCACCCTATAGTATATATATCCCATAATATATATCCTATAGCATGCATATGACTTTCGCTCTTAACATCCTCGTTTCTCTTATGTTGAATTCATCCTTAATCGTATTCACCGAGTTCTTTCGCAAATATAACCCCCTACCACATCGGGTAGGTCCAACTACATCTCCATACCACATCGGGCAGGTCAAGTTATTATCCATACCACATCGGGCAGGTCTAGTTATACTCCATACCACATCGAGCAGGTCTAGTCATACTCCATACCACATCGGGTAGGTCTAGTTATACTCCATACCACATCGGGCAGGTCTAGTCATGCTCCATACCACATCGGGCAGGTTTAGTTATACTCCATACCACATCGGGCAGGTCTAGTCATACTCCATGCCACATCGGGTAGGTCTAGTTATACTCTATTCCACATCGGGCAGGTCTAGTCATGCTCCATACCACATCGGGCAGGTTTAGTTATACTCCATACCACATCGGGCAGGTCTAGTCATACTCCATGCCACATCGGGTAGGTCTAGTTATACTCTATTCCACATCGGACAGGTCTAGTTATTATCCATACCACATCGGGCATGTCTAGTCATACTCCATACCACACCGGGCAGGTCTAGTTATACTCCATACCACATCGGGCAGGCCTAGTTATTATCCATACCACATCCGGCATGTCTAGTCATACTTCATACCACATCGGGCAGGTCTAGTTATACTCCATACCACATCGGGCAGGCCTAGTTATTATCCATACCACATCGGGCAGGTCTAGTTATACTCCATACCACATCGGGCAGGTCTAGTCATACTCCATACCACATCGGGCAGGTCTAGTTATACTCCATACCACATCGGGCAGGTCTAGTTATTATCCATACCACATCGGGCATGTCTAGTCATACTCCATACCACATCGGGCAGGTCTAGTTATACTCCATACCACATCGGGCAGGTCTAGTTATTATCCATATCACATCGGGCAGGTCTAGTTATACTCCATACCACATCGGGCAGGTCTATTCATACTCCATACCACATCGGAAGGTCTAGTTATTATCCATACCACATTAGGCAGGTCTAGTCATACTCCATACCACATCGGGCACGTCTAGTTATACTCCATACCACATCGGGCAGGTCTAGTTATACTCCATACCACATCGGGCAGGTCTAGTCATACTCCATACCACTTCGGGCAGGTCTACTTATACTCCATACCACATCGGGCAGGTCTAGTCATACTCCATACCACATCGGGCAGGTATAGTTATACTCTATACCACATCGGGCAGGTCTAGTCATACTCCATACGACATCGGGTAGGTCTAGTTATTATCCATACCACATCGGACAGGTCTAGTCATACTCCATACCACATCGGGCAGGTCTAGTTATACTCCATACCACATCGTGCAGGACTAGTTATTATCCATACCACATCGGGCAGGTCTAGTCATACTCTATACCACATCGGGCAGGTCTAGTTATACTCCATACCACATCGGGCATTTCTAGTCATGCTCCATACCACATCGGGCAGGTTTAGTTATACTCCATACCAAATCGGGCAGGTCTAGTCATACTCCATGCCACATCAGGTAGGTCTAGTTATACTCTATTCCACATCGGGCAGGTCTAGTTATTATCCATACCACATCGGGCATGTCTAGTCATACTCCATACCACATCGGGCAGGTCTAGTTATACTCCATACCACATCGGGCAGGTCTAGTTATTATCCATACCACATCGGGCATGTCTAGTCATACTCCATACCACATCGGGCAGGTCTAGTTATACTCCATACCACATCGAGGATTTTTTCCATTCATGTATGATAGACATAGGAAACGTTTTATTCCTTGCCTACTTTTTCCAGTCTTTTTAGTATTACATAAAAAAATTAGGAATAGAGAATAAATCCATATCCAACTTTGTTGGAATAATGATGTCCACGGTTATTTGTGTTATTTGAAATGAAACATTGTGGTAAGTAACGCGGAAAGAGAGGGATTCGAACCCTCGGTACAAAAATTCGTACAACGGATTAGCAATCCGCCGCTTTAGTCCACTCAGCCATCTCTCCCCAACTAAAAAAAAAGAATTACGAAGTAAGTTTCTGTTACATTGCATAAAAAAAAAAAATAAAAGGTTGGTCTTTTTTGAAGAGCTCTTTATATCTTTTATCTCTTTTTTATTTATATTTGTTTTTCCATTCTTTATTGGCAGGCCTAGTTATTATCCATACCACATCGAGCAGGTCTAGTTATACTCCATACCACATCGGGCAGGTCTAGTCATACTCCATACCACATCGGGCATGTCTAGTTATACTCCATACCACATCGGGCAAGTCTAGTTATTATCCATACCACATCGGGCATGTCTAGTCATACTCCATACCACATCGGGCAGGTCTAGTTATACTCCTTACCACATCGGGCAGGTCTAGTTATTATCCATATCACATCGGGCAGGTCTAGTTATACTCCATACCACATCGGCAGGTCTATTCATACTCCATACCACATCGGGAAGGTCTAGTTATTATCCATACCACATCAGGCAGGTCTAGTCATACTCCATACCACATCGGGCAGGTCTAGTTATACTCCATACCACATCGGGCAGGTCTAGTCATACTCCATACCACATCGGGCAGGTCTAGTCATACTCCATACCACATCGGGCAGGTCTACGTATACTCCATACCACATCGGGCAGGTCTAGTCATACTCCATACCACATCGGGCAGGTATAGTTATACTCCATACCACATCGGGAAGGTCTTGTCATACTCCATACAACATCGGGTAGGTCCAGTTATACTCCATACCACATCGGGCAGGTCTAGTTATTATCCATACCACATCGGGGAGGTCTAGTTATTATCCACACCATATCGGGCAGGTCTAGTCATACTCCATACCACATCGGGCAGGTCTAGTTATACTCCATACCACATCGGGCAGGTCTAGTTATTATCCATATCACATCAGGCAGGTCTAGTTATACTCCATACCACATCAGGCAGGTCTAGTCATACTCCATACCACATCGGGCAAGTCTAGTTATTATCCATACCACATCGGGCAGGTCTAGTCATACTCCATACCACATCGGGTAGGTCTAGTTATACTCCATACCACATCGGGCAGGTCTAGTCATACTCCATACCACATCGGGCAGGTCTACTTATACTCCATACCACATCGGGCAGGTCTAGTCATACTCCATACCACATCGGGCATGTCTACTTATACTCCATACCACATCGGGCAGGTCTAGTTATACTCCATACCACATCGGGCAGGTCTAGTTATTATCCATACCACATCGGGCAGGTCTAGTTATACTCCAGACCACATCGGGCAGGTCTAGTCATACTCCATACCACATCGGGCAGGACTAGTTATTATCCATACCACATCGGGCAGGTCTAGTCATACTCTATACCACATCGGGCAGGTCTAGTTATACTCTATACCACATCGGGCAGGTCTAGTTATTATCCATACCACATCGGACAGGTCTAGTCATACTCCATACCACATCGGGCAGGTCTAGTTATACTCCATACCACATCGGGCAGGTCTAGTTATTATCCATACCACATCGGGCAAATGTAGTTATACTCCATACCACATCGGGCAGGTCTAGTCATAATCCAAACCACATCGGGCAGGTCTAGTTATACTCCATACCACATCGGGCAGGTCTAGTTATTATCCATACCACATCGGGCAGGTCTAGTTATACTCCATACCACATCGGGCAAGTCTAGTCATACTCCATACCACATCGGACAGGTCTAGTTATTATCCATACCACATCGGGCAGGTCTAGTCATACTGCATACCACATCGGGCAGGTCTAGTTATACTCCGTACCACATCGGGCAGGTCTAGTTATTATCCATACCACATCTGGCAGGTCTAGTCATACTCCATACCACATCGGGCAGGTCTAGTTATACTCCATACCACATCGGGCAGGTCTAGTTATTATCCATACCACATCGGGCAGGTCTAGTTTACAATACTTCACTACCATTCTCGGTACGATACAATAACAGTCCACTACCACTCCGGGTAAGACACAATAAATAGTCCGTTACCACTCCAGGTAGGACACAATAAACAGTTCACTACCACTCCGAGTAGGACACAATAAACCACTACTCCCTCGGGTAGGGTATCAACAATAAACCACTACCTCTCCGGGTAGTGTATCAACAATAAACCACTACCTCTCCGGGTAGTGTATCAACAATAAACCACTACCTCTCCGGGTAGTGTATCAACAATAAACCACTACCTCTATGGGTAGTGTAACAACAATAAACTTACCAACACTTTAACTCTTTCACATACCTCATTCACATCTGAGTATGAATTAGAGCCACTTATCCCTTACCTTGGTGAGTGTTGGGGATTGGTTCCGGGTAACTTTAAAAGTCTCCTCCGCGATTCCCTCCAACCTTAGGATATTTCCTCATTTCCACCAATAACAACAATGTCAGTCATTTATTTAAAATAACACATAAATAACTCGTATTTCATCATCAAACATACAAGGGATTCACATACATTCAAGATCTCCAAAACTACTTCAATATAATTTTTCAAACATCTAAACATACATGTTCATCTCTTTCTCTTTATACCCATATTCTCATATTAGGGGTTTTTGGGGTTTTTCATTAATAACCCACAAAAGCTTTCCATTCATCAAATATCAACTCTAACCTACGAGTTTACAAGAGAAAAACAACATAAAACGAACCATAACTCTAAAGAATGAGTTTCCATGGTTTCTCATGTTTTGAAAATAGATCCAACATACCCAAAACAAGTTAGAGAGGAAGAAGAAGAGTTAGAAACAAGAGGTTTACCTCTTCTCAAGCTCTAAGACGAGTCCTAAGGCTCCTTGCTCTTGAAAAGCTCTCTTCTCTATCTTCTCTTCAAAGTTCTAACCCTAAAATGGTTTTGGGTTTCTATTTTAAAGAGCAGTCGTCGTAAGTGTAATCGATTACCATATGGTGTAATCGATTACATCATGTAAAATACACAGGTCTGATTAGTTTATCAGCATGTAATCGATTACCAGGATTGTGTAATCGATTACAATGTGAAAAATGCACATATTTGATGCTTTTAATATGTTGTAATCGATTACGAGTATAGTGTAATCGATTACATCATGTAAAATGCACAGGTCTGATTAGTTTATCAGCATGTAATCGATTATCAGGATTGTGTAATCGATTACACTGTTAAAAAAAGAATCTCACAGTGTCAACAGCCCAAAATTGCCATTTCTCGCCTAGGCGATGTAACGCCCCGAAAATTACTTCAATAATCTTGCTCGAAAATGGGTAAATTTTTTTTTTTTTTTTTGAATAAAGGAGCCATAAAAATTTATGTCTTTATCTTCGTTTCATTTTCGGAACATCACTTAAGTAACATACAATGCGGAAAATCACAACCATTACTTAATGGTAACTAGAAAAACTCAATATAACTTTGAATCATACTTCATTAGAAAATGTTGGTACAGGTACAAGGCGGAATCCTAATCGTCGCCCAAATAAAAACTACTACAAAATAAATTCCCTACACAGGTACACTAATCAAAAGTACCAGGGCCTGTGTAGGTATAACAGATTCCCTCAATCCTCCATGCCCCCTCCTGGGACATCGAAAAGTGGTAACTCTGAATCCCGATCGAACGATCCATCTGAACAAACGCGGATAGAAGACAAAAAGAAAGAAGAGAGGGAGTAAAACATCTAATGAAAAACTTATCATTGACGTCGTGGAATTACACAGAATAATACACCAAGACAACACATGAGTACATATATATCATGCGATTATACAAGCACATAAAAACAATGAATGAAATATAAAACTCGAGGATTTAGAAACGATATCAAAGAATATCATGTATGCAATGCGATGCATGAGTCCACCATCCTTACTCCTTTATCCTCCCAATAACTATTCGGAAATAACCGAGAGTACAGGTCCCATAACAAGCCGATTTGAACGCACCAAAATATTCCTCGCAAGGATATATGATCGATCTATTCCAAAGAACTGTCCATTTCAGGACGGTGTCGTATCAAACACTTTCTGGGCATCCCTCTCATCGATCCTGATTGCAAAGAGGGGTTGTCAGAGATCATCTAGTTTGCGCTGTGAGAACTGTCCGATCCAACAGAATACCTCATCCAGGAATACAAGGGACTCGTCTCACCTAGACTCACCCTCAAGACTTTGCTGACGAATCACCGCCATCGTCGTCCCTCTCAACATCTCGGGGCTCGTTCGTCTCCCGTAAATTTCCTCTCCACTACTTCATTATTCATAATGAGTATGCACACTAACCGAGGTTAGCCAATTAAATCTTTTAATCATTCTTTTAAATGATCGGCCCAACCTAAGACATCTCCCAAAGGAATGCTTCTAGTGGGTCCCGATCTTAACACATATAACAAAAAGAGAGAATAATTTCGGCACCACTACGAACCATCGCTGAATTATCCTGGACGGCTCCTCTAGCCAAGCCTCTTACGGTCAAATAATCTCGCTGCGTGGGCATAATATCACACCCTCGGCCTCGCCTTTACCAAAGCAATTCCTTACTTTTATTACTTTCAAGAATTTCATATAGTTGTTTACCTTTACAAATTCTTGATGGCAAACATGCCATTGGGCTCTCGTATATATGAGAGTTATCATTCCGACGACTTAAAAAGAAGTCATGTTTGTATGGAGCCCGCTCGCTCAAGCGAGAGCTGTCTTGCTCAAGCGAGATGCTTCCATTTTTGAGGCATTTGTGGCTTAAGCAAGAGCTGTCTTGCTTAAGCGAGAAAACAATCAGTTCTCTTGGTGCCTATTTTAGCTCAAGCGAGAGCTGTCTCGCCTCGAGCTAAAACACTCGTTTTCTCTATACACTTCTCGCTCAATCGAGAGTTGTCTCGGTCAAGCGAGAAGAACCTAAATATCATTTTAATTACTTTTCTCAAGGAAAATATTTCTCATTTATATCAAATGTTTTTAAACCTTGAATTTCAAAATTATCACATACATATCATTCCCATAATAATCATTCAAACAT